CCCCCCCATCATATTCCCCTCCCTGCTACAGGTGTCCTTTTTGATGCTGGAAATATGGTAACCCTACATGCATACTAAGTTGACTTAAAATAAGGTGACTTAACTAAGCCAAGTTAAGCCACGTCGGAGCATACCCCCATACGGATCATTGCCATGGTGGCAGCTATCTCGTGAGCTAAGTCGACTAATGCGTCTCAAGATAATACAACTTGGAGATGTGTTATCGTGCGCTGTATTTAGGTCGGCTCTGCTCTACATACACATGTACGCTCTGACACTTAAGTCGACTTCAAAAAGTTAAGTTGGCTTGACCGTCAGTAAGGTAGTATGCGTGTACGCACCCTCAAACTTCCAGTGTGCAAGATGGGGTGAGACGGGCGGGTTGGTTTGTGTTGGGATGTGTTCATCTGTCAAAAATGGAGGCAGCTGCATAGTAAGAGGGTTGATGCGACTGTACACTGCAGCACTGGCAACCCACTGGATTTTGCTGAAAGATACACAAGATTTGGTGATTTTTGTTCTTTCAGTTTCTGGAAACACATCATTAGGAGAAAATTGCAGCTTGCTTTCCTTCTGTTTTGTTTTTGTTTTTAAGGGAGGCAATTTCTAGTCTTAATCATTACAGATAAAACATTGAAAATGTGACCTACCGGAAGGCACCGAAAAAGTCCCCCACATGTACTGTTTGCCTCTTTACATCTTATGATTTCTAAGCCGATCTCCTGATTTCTTTGCGGCTTTTCAACATCTGGCAATGCTGCCTTCATGAAATCAGCATGGGAAAGTACAGTGCACTCCCTGAAGTTATCCGTGCTGTAAAACCAAGCTGCCCTTTTCTCCCTTCCCAGTCTATTTTTCTAAATCCAGGCGTATACTGATCAACACCTATTGTATGCCTGTTTTTGAGCCCAGTTCAGATTTACCCAAGAAGGCCACATTAGCAGGGGTTAGCAGGTTTGCAAAGATGAAGGCTGCAAGAAAGGATGTTTTACACTGAGACTGTGTGTGGCATCAGTGGTCTCACCACAGCACAGCTATTATTTCAGAAACCGATGCTGACAGCCCACAGGGAAACAACCTCCACCAAGAGGGGCCCAGCTGTTGACTTGCCAGCACCAAATTCATCAGAGATTATGGGTAGCCAGTTCCCAGCTAGCGGTAGGAAGTCACTCCTGTACCTATAATATAAGCTCCCTCCACTGTATATTCAGCAGCAGAGGGGTGAGGCAGGCTTCTCAGAGGTCTCTGAAGGTTTGCTTCCCCATGCAGAGGTTCGGCAGCCACTGCTAATCACCTGCAAATAAATCAATATGAACGCATCGGGCCGTGCAAGTTGAAATGCTGACATATTCATAAGGAGAGGGCAGCAATTGCAGCTTTCTCCATGTCTCGCTACGCTGCCCTGTGCGCTTCTTCCGTATCCTGCGCTCTTGCATATTCCTGTAATGTCCAAAGGACTTCCCAGAGTCTCTCTGATTGAAGGCTGCACATCATAAATATTCGGGGCTCCGTCAGGAGCAGCTCATCCGACAGATCCGTGGTTCGAACTCATAGCTACAAATGCACCGAACAGCCGTGTACGGGCTAACACAGCCACCGTGTAACAGCCTGCAAAAATAACGTCTGGTCTTGGGGCAGTTCAGGAAAGGCAAGTGGTTTCACACCACATCGCACATTGATTCGTACACAGGCTTTTGCTCCGAATGATGCAGAGGAGGCTGGGATAAGCCTCCCACCTATCCCAGCACGGTGCAAGACTGGCGGATCAGGTCTGGCTCGCACGCTAGGCACTCGAACGTGCTGATACCTGTCCATGTAGACATCCCGGTTCTCACCATCTTAAGGCCCAAACAATGGCTTGCTTCGGAGCTGAGAAATCACCCCCGGCAAAAATCCGACTCCCGGAGCTGTGCTATTTATTACACGTCGGTTTTGTCTGTCCCTGAGCTTGTCGTTTTTGCATGTTTGTCAGGAACGTCACGTTGTTTAAGAGGGCGTTGACAAAGCGACCCTCGGTATTTGGGGAATCGCTTCCCTTCCACGTCGTTTAGAAGTTTCCCCTCCCTTTACGTCCTATAATATTTTGGTGGTGGTGGGTTTTGCGGGGGTCTGTTGTTAAAGAAAAGCAGTTTGTATGAAATGCAGCGTACAAAAGGGTGTGGAGAGGAGAACGAAGCAGATGGGTTTGGCGTGCACAATAAAACGGCAAAGCAACACAAGGGCAGAAACTCCCAAATAAGCGCGGTCATGGAGGAGTCGTAGTCCTTGGGTAGTGTTTACAATGGGTTATTTTTGGTCAAATTAAAACTCTTCCATCAGCTGTCTCAGTGCCCGTCGCTATGTATGAAGAAGCTCAGGGCAAAGACCAAAATCTGACCCTGTGAAAGAAAGTTTATACAAAACCATGAGACCTTACGGAGACGCGGCGGCCGCGAGCGGGCCCCCTCGCGCTGCGCTGCGCAGAGCAGGCTGACAGGAGTCCAGATCGATTTGTAATGGCTTAACATGTTTAAACATGATTTTAACTCGCAGCGTGACGGGACGTACCCATGATCGTGTGATATATTTCGTAGGAGATTCTGTCAGTGGATCTCTTACCGTTGATGCAGGATTACGTGGGATTTTTGGGGGTGCTCCATGACTGATCTCATTGTAGGGTCTGTGCTCTGTAGAGGAAACCTCGCTGTTGTGCTGGAAGTTGGGTGCCTTTCTCTAAGGGACAGCGGGCACCCAGGTGGCCCGGCCCGGCCCGCGCGCACCCAGGCGGGAGGCGGGTCCGTGTCGCCGCCA